TCTTCGCCCCGAGCCTCTTGAGTTGAAGGTCGCTGGGGGGGCAGCGTTGTTTCTAGGGGCAGATCCCCGTACGCTCGGCGGGCGCGCTTGATCGGTCAACAGCAATCCTTACAGCCGCCCTTCGCGAGAAGCTCTGATTTCAGGCTTACTCTTGCCGACGATTGGGCTGCTCATGCTTGCTCTTGCCCTACAAAAGCATTGCCCTCTCCCCCGTCGCCCCAGAAACACAGATCGCGTTCGCTGCCCCTCAGCGAGCTTCAACTCTTGAGCACTTTTCGAAACAATTCGGGCCTCTTGAGCCCGTTTTCCTCTGCTTGGGCAAGTCCACTTGCATGGACGGGGGGGGGGGAACCCGAACCTGAAGCAAGCCGCGAACGACTGCCACGTGCAGAAACCACGCAGGTCGAAAGGCACTTGCACGCCAGTGTTCGTTTGAAGAGTTGAAGAGGGGCGAGGGGGGGCGGGGTGGGGGGGAAGGGTGGGGTGGGGGGGGGGGGGGGGGGGCGAACGCCATGCAAGTAAACTTGCCTGAATCTGCGGGCCCGAGGCCTGGGAATACTCGCTGTGGCGCGTGCTTCTCGTGTGAACAAACTTGTCCCTCCAGTAGTGCACCCGAGCGGCGACCATCCGTGGCGACGAAACCCTCGAGAAGCGCACAAGAGACACCTCCCAATCAACGAGGACGACGCCGCGGTCGCCAGTGCCAGCGCAGGAGGTGGAGACGTAGGTGTCCCTGAGATCCGCTGTTGCGAAGAAGAAAATGCAACATCGCAAAAAATCACGGCCTGAGCCCTAGACCTCGTCTTTCTGCGGCATTATTCGAGCCAGATCGGTCTGCAATGGTCTTGAAGAAAAGCCCCCGTGCCCCCAAAGAACACGACATGGATCTCAGTGGAGGTGGATCGGCGTTTGCGCTTCCCCGAGCAACCGGCAAGGCTGGCGCTCTGTGCGCAGGCGGGCAAGGCACCAGGCGGGCCCTCCATGACCACCTCTCGGACACGCGCTATCTCGCATGGAAGCGAGCCTCGTCTGACATGCGCCTTGTGTCCCCAGTAGTGTGATGCCCTGACTTGTTCAAAATGGGGCCCCCTGAAGTCTCGATCCCTTCCCCAAGGCCCCAGGGCACGTTTCCCGAGTCGCATTTTCGACGCTCATGCAGGGCCTGGCGAGGGCCCCCAAAGCCTGAAAACGGGCAGCAAAAATCCTTCGTCGTGAATTGGTTAACGACGCGAGCATGTCTGTAGGTGGCGACATCCGAGCTCTACCCCACCAACCATCAGTTCGCCTGAATCGATGGGAGCAGGAGGTAGGGTTTGGACTTCGCCACGTGTTCGACGAATTCAAAACCCTACCAACGCCGCCCATCAAGTTGCCTGAACCGTTCATCGGGCAGGGCCCGGACGTCGTCGCCGAGCCTTCCCTGCTTGTGTGCCCTCGAACCTCCCGCGACAGCAGCCTGGAGCCCCCCCCAGGCTGCGGCATGGCGGGCCGGTACTGCCGGGGCTGCGATCGCGGCCTCTGCCCGGACCCCCGGCCCCCGTTCGGGGGGGGGGGGGGCTGCCCCGCTGGAGGCCAGATCGCTGCGGGACGACCCGGGCCCCCTCGCAGCCGTTGCAGATCTCCGGCGGAGCTGTCGGGGACTTCTGCTTTCCGCGTGTCGCGGCAGCGGCCCCGGCGACACGCCATGCCTTGCGAGCGGATGGCGTGCCGCTCCGCTCCGAGGGGCGGGACGCTCGGAAAGGCTCGGGACTTTGGCGTTCGGAGGCCGGGGAGTGAACAGCGTGGCGGGAACCGGCGGAGCGGCACGCGAAGCCAACATTCCAGACCGAGTATGTGTGTGTGTTGAATCCCGGCACGTTTCCTCGGTTTCGGCCTCTTGGGCCGGTTGTCGAGGCCCGCGGCTATCACAAATGGATATGGGACGCAAAGCTACCCCTGGGGAAGGGGTCGGGACCTCTGAAGGCGGCGTATTGAACAAGACATTCGTCAGACGTCTGAGGATGGCCCACGACGCCTTTCATTACTTCTTTCTACCGTGCGTCCGCTGGTGCTGTTTCGCGCGTGCACCGGGATGCCAAAAGCAGAGACTTCCGACACTCGTTGGCTCACGAATCCCAGATGGCCAACAGCCGTGACAATTGGGGTTGTGCTGTCACGCTTTGGCAGCGTCGTGGAAAAACATAGGTGCGGTTTTGACATTCATTGTGGCCGCTGCTGGGGCCCAGGGTCGTCAAAGGACTCCGGTCGAGACCCACCTTGGGGGTCCTTCTCCTCTGAGGCCGCAAATAACACCGACGAGTCGTCCTGGCACTCGCACAGGAAGAGGAGGTGATCCGGGTTTTGCTGCTGCTGCTGCTGATGCTGCTGATGCTGCTGCTGTTTCTCCGAAAGAGCGCTGCTGTGGTCGCTTGGAGGGGGGGGGTGGAACCAGACGACCCCCCCCCTTCCCCTACTTCTCTCTCTCCCTCTCCTCGGGCCGGCGCCGGCGTCGGCGGCGGCTGGCGGCGGCGGGGGCTCTGGTGGTGGTGGTAGTGGCCGTGGTGGTGGTGGTGAGGTGGTTTGTGGTGGTTGTGGCGGTGGTGGTGGTGGTGGTGGAAGGGGTGGTGGGTTGTGCTGCTGGTAGTAGTGGTGGTGGGTTGAGGTGGTGATGGTGGTGGTGTGGTAGATTGTGGCGATGGTGGTGGTAGTAGTGGTGGGGTGGTGGTGGTGGGCTGTGGCGTTGGTGGTGGTGTTGGTGCTGGTAGTAGTGCTGGTGGTGGTGGTGGTGGGTGGTGGGTGTTGGGTGTTGGTGCTGGTGGTGGTGATGCTGGTGGTGGTGGTGTGGTGGTTTGTGGTGGCGGTGTTGGTGGTGGGTTGTGGTGATGGTGGTGGCTGTGGCGGTGGTGGTGATGGTGGTAATCCGCCGGCCCCCTTATGGGGCCACCAGGCTGTAGGCGCGGGTTCGCAGTTTCCAATACCAGTTGTAGCTTGTAGTTTCCAGTGTTACAGTTCTGCTTCTTGCTGGTTACTGTAACTAATTGACTGACCACGCGAGGGGGGGGGGAGGCCCAAACGGGACTTTTAGCACCCCCTGGGCGCGTTGTCTGAATTGCTGGGGGGGGCTCGAAATCGACACCCCTCACGCAGATCCGCGGGGTCAGGGTCCAAAAACACATGGGATTTGCCACATTTCTGAAATTCGGTGCCACCCCTCACGCAGATCCGCGGGGTCAGGGTCCAAAAACACATGGGATTTGCCACATTTCTGAAATTCGGTGCCACCCCTCACGCAGATCCGCGGGGTCAGGGTCCAAAAACACATGGGATTTGCACATTTCTGAAATTCGGTGCCACCCCTCACGCAGATCCGCGGGGTCAGGGTCCAAAAACACATGGGATTTGCCACATTTCTGAAATTCGGTGCCACCCCTCACGCAGATCCGCGGGGTCAGGGTCCAAAAACACAAGGGATTTGCCACATTTCTGAAATTCGGTGCCACCCCTCACGCAGATCCGCGGGGTCAGGGTCCAAAAACACAGGGATTTGCCACATTTCTGAAATTCGGTGCCACCCCTCACGCAGATCCGCGGGGTCAGGGTCCAAAAACACATGGGATTTGCCACATTTCTGAAATTCGGTGCCACCCCTCACGCAGATCCGCGGGGTCAGGGTCCAAAAACACAGGGGATTTGCAACATTTCTGAAATTCGGTGCCACCCCTCACGCAGATCCGCGGGGTCAGGGTCCACACGGATTTGCCACATTTCTGAAATTCGGTGCCACCCCTCACGCACATCCATCGCAAGGCGTGGTAACCCAAACTGCGAGTACTCCCTCGGCCCTTTAATCCCAAGGTGTGGTAACCAAGCTCGTAAACCATACACGTCTTACCAATCGCCCTGTGTGGTAACCCCTCTTGTGATCAGTTGGTTTTGCCGATTGCGAATCGGCCTCGCATGAAGTTCCGATACTGCTGCACGACAGCGCCAAACCCTCATGACTTAGCTCTTCCATGGCCCATTCTCCGAGAGAGGGGGCCGGCGGCAGGGGGCGAAGCCCTTACGGATAATAGTGTGGTGGCTTGTGGTGGTGGTGGTGGTGGTGCGTGGGTTGTGGTGGTGCTGGTGGTGGTGGCGTTTTTGGTGGCGGTGGTGGTGGTGAGGCGTTTTGTGGTGATGGTGGTGATTGTGGTGATGTTGGGTTGTGGTGTCTGGGTGGTTGTGGTGATGGCGGTGGTGGTGGTGGTATGGTGGTCTGTGGTGGCGGTGGTGGTGTGGCATTCGGCTCTTCCCGCCACTGTGTTTTGGCAAAGGCTCGGAGTTCTAATCGACGGCGCCGAGTGTTGGGGGGGGGCCACCCCCCAGTTCGAAACGCGCAGCCAAATGTTCCCAAGGCAAGCGCCCGTGAAACGCGCTCTCTTCCTCCTTCGAACCCCGTCCTTGCTCCTGCTCGGCCTCCTCCAGGGTCCACATTGTGGCAGAATCACGGCCACGGGGGTTCTGGGGCAGGAGGGCTGGGTATGAAGAGAGGAAGGCCGGGCGAGCATGGCTGCCCACAGGGCGCCGTGCCGATGCGGTGTCGACATTGCCGGGCCGACTGAGGAAGGCTCGCGACTTCCGCAGACGCGAGCAAGCGCGAGTGGCTGCTCTTCGGGGGCGCGCAAACATGGATTAGCGATCCATGGATTTGGCGCGCGGTCGCCAAATCCATGGATCGGGGGAGATGCCCTCCCCAAAATGCAGCCGGTGCCGCCTCGCTCGGCGGCGGAACCCCGCGGTTTCCCATGGAAACGGGACCCGTCGCTAATCCACCCCACCTTGACCCGTGTTTGCGATCGCCTGAGCTCTGGGCTCGGGACACATCAAGCCCAGTGGGCTAAGACAGAAGCGCGCCGCTGGCACCGTCTCTCCGGAAACAACACGTCCGATGCACCCGGTGCCCGGCATCACCGTCGGACTTCGGCTCCTGCCCTCCTGCCCTCTTCGCTTCTCTCCTGTATGGTTCCTCCTCTGTTGCGTCCCCTGCCCTCTGTCCGCCATCTTCTGTGCTCGGTCCTCTCTCTCTCTTTTCTCCTCCCTCCTCCTCCTCCTCCTCCTCCTCATCCCCTCCTGCTCCTACCTCTCCCCATCCCAGGAAAGGGGGGGGATGGGGGGGAGCAGAGGAATGGAGGAGATGCGGAAGGGAGGAGGATTTTTTTTGAGCACCACTGCCCCGCTGCGCGTCTAGAGCACGCTGAAAGTATTTGATAGCAAGGTGACCCCTTCTCTTTCGGATGGGCCCTTAGCAGACCTTATTCCAACAGTCTGGATTGTACTTGTCACGACGCCGGCCTGGACAAAGCTCTCCAAGCTTGGCGAGGCGAGCCCCAGACCTGTATCTCTTGCATTCCGTGCAGACAACTATCAACGATTCGTTCGAACAGTCAAATATGATACGCTTGTGATTGAAATCCCGCAGGGCCTGCACGTTGACTCTGAGAATCTCGCTACCGTGGCCTGGGGGAGGGCAGATATCACCTGGGCTCCGGGACGTGCGGAGACAAGGCTGACACTGCCAAAAACGCTGAGAACCACCAGGAGGGCCGAGCCAAATCCACGAGTGGGGCCTGGGGGCCTCTCGGACAACAGGCGCGCACGGGTTAGACCAGGAGACACCAGACAAATCCGTCCTGGGCCACCTCGGGAGCAACTCTGCCGCCAGCCTGATGGCGTACTTGCACCGGGCCACGGTACCAGAAAGATCAGAAAGCACAGAATCGCTGGCGGACGGGTGCGCCGCGGCTCCTTGCTTCGCAGTTCTGTCGGCAAAATCGCTGCCTACGCGTAGAAAGCGCTCGCGAGGAGAAATACTGGGATCATCGATGGCCTGATGCGCTCTGACCTTCTCGCAGCCCAACATTTTCGCCCCACCCAAAGCCCGCCCCTGCATCACCAACCCAGCGTGTGGTCTGTCAGGCGCGAGTCTGGCAAAATCTGGCAAGTCGTGCATATTGACACCATTGGCGCAGTCGCTGAAGAGCATGCCGGGCCTAGCAAGCAGTGCGCCGTACACTGCATGAGCCGAAACCTCTCCAGCCTGAGGCGCCTGGGGGCAGCTACTCCACACGGGACCGGAAACGAGAGCCAGCAGATGCCTTGATGGCCCAACCATGGCGATCCCCCAGCCCGCGTGGTCCATGCCCCTCACTGACGGCCTGAAACAAAACCCGTCAAAAAAGACGTCGCCCCAGATCTCCCTGGACCCCTCGGGGGGGCATGGGAGCCCTTCAACTTCAAAACTGTCGGGGAACAGTTGAAACTTGATGCCAAAAAATACACCCTCCCTCCAAGATCCCTCGTCATAGGCCCCACAACGGGTCATTTCCACAAAAGGAATTACCCCGTTCTGGGTCAACCGTGTCAACACGTTGAAGCGCGGGAAAAAAAACACCATTCTTAGAATTTCCAGCGCCACGAGTTCACCTGACTGTTACGACGTGGCGCCCCTAAGTGGTGCCAGACCA